TCTAAGTCACATTTTTGAGCTCACAGAGCTAAATTGCAGAGATGGGATTCCAACTGAGGTCTTTGGGACTCAAGAACTGTCCTCACTATGACTGGGTGGTATTTCCTCTGTGCTGGGCGAGGTGTGCTGGCTTTGGGCAGGGAGGAGAGGGAGCACCCAGGGTGCTCCGAAGGCCTCCCTGTTTTGCTTCTTTTCCCAACACTTAGCCCTCAGCTCTGGCTTCTAGATTTGTAAACTGATGCTATGACCTGTGGCCTCCTCTCGTAAGAAAATGGGAGAGCGTGTTTGTGAATTAGGAAGTGCTAGGCAAAAATAGAGGGAGTTACTATTCCTTTAAAATACCATTTGAGTCAGCATGCAAACATTTCTGGAAGGTCAGAGGACAAATAGTAATGAAATTTAAATGGGTGCTTTAGGGTAAAACCAGGGATTAGTACACCTTTTCCGGAAGATAACAAATAGGTTTGGATTTGTGACCCGAAGGCTTCTGTCACAAGTACTCAGTCCTATGTTGTACTATGAAACCAGGTGTAGACAATGTATAAATGATGTGTAAAAAGTAGTTTTTTAATTACATTTTGCTTGTAAAAACAAGTGATGGACTCGGTTTGTTTCAAGGTTATAATTGGCTGACTTCAGTTTTATAACAGCATGTGTTCAAGCAAAATATAGACACACAGTTTACAATATGCATATTAAATTATAAAATATTCCAGGCTTATTCTTTTTATAGAAAAATCATGGGAGTGAGAGAAATATATATATACACACATATTTATATGTATATATATATATATATATATATATATATATATATATATACTTAATACTATAAAATGTCTTCTGAAAGGTTGTAAAAACACTGAATATAAACAGAATCAGAAATTTGGTAGGCCTTATTAAAATGTCCTAATTGTAATCTCTGTTTGCCATATGGTTCATTTTGTATTGTGACTTTGTCCAGAGACTGCTTAATAGCCAATCTGATCATTCAGCTGCTGTTTCTTATTTTAATATTTGCTTTGTCCTGTAGGTATTTGGGTTTGTGAGTACTATACTCTTATTTTTAAAGGTCATACTATGTAATTCAGACTGGCTTTGAACTCACTATATAGCCAAGAGAAGCCTTGAACTCATGACAGTCCTCCTGCCTCGGCCTCCTAAGTGCTGGGATTATAGATGTGCGCCACCACATCTGGTTATGACACCTGTACTCTTAAGATATACTCAAAAGCCTAGAATGGGCTATAGAATTCATTAAAATGCACCATATGTGTAATATTCTTTGCTTCACTGTTATATTTTAACAGTAGATTTCAAAGATAAAATGATAGATCATCTCAGCATTTTACACTTCCTTGGTTTCCCTGGATGTGGGTATGTGTCTTCCTCCACTGAAATTTAGGCAGCCAGTGCTTGCTTACGGCTTCGAATGTGACTTCCTGTGTGAACTGCGCGGTAAGATCTTCTGACAGACACATGGGAGGTGGTGTTTGTGCAAGATCACATTTAATGTATACAAAGGGAAAATGTTTATTCACATTGGTGTCTTGCTCTTGAGCTCCTTGATGATTGGAAATGTTCTTTTTTAAATAGTTGATGCATCCATTCTTTTACCTCCCCAAATACTGGTGAATTTTAGTAAATCTGCGCGCTCATACATGGGGGATTTTCATCTAAAGAGAATGCAAAGCATATACTGCCTTCTTATAAATTTCAGTTTTGAGATGGAGTGGAAATATTAGTGCAAACTGTCATAAAATATTAAAAAAAAACACTACTCCAAGGGGCTGGGGATTTAGCTCAGCGGCATAAGCGCCTGCCTTGTAAGCAGGCAGTCGTGAGTTCGATCCCTGGTACCGATAAAAAAAACGAAAAAGACAAAAAAAAAAAAAAAACAAAAACAAAAACAAACAAACAAACAAAAAAAAAAAACCACTACTCCTCCAAAAGGCAGTGGTATGAAGGGTGACCATCCTTATTTTAATGTTTGCTGATGCCAGCAAGATAATGTTTTGGGCAGGTTTTGTCATGTTGAGTTGTATTAGTTTTGAATTTTAAAATAATTTCCCTTTTCATGAGTGTGTAATTTAAATGTGTTTAAGGCTGTAAAAACCAGTGTTTAGTGGGTAAACAATCTACTTCGTATGATAGAGTACTATGCACCAATAAAAAGAATAATATAGCTAAGCTCTTGTACGATTTCAAAGGCATTGTGCTAAGTGACAGAAAAGTTTGCATGCCATATGATTATTTCAGTTGTATTCTGCAAAAGATAAAACTATATGATTTAAAGATATCAGTGGTTAGTGTGAGTTAGAAGTTGAGAGAATATTCTACCATAATAGCATACCATAAATGACATTTTTCAGGTGATAGAACTGTGTGACAACCTGATTTGTAAAAAATTATTCAAATCAATACATAAGTTAAAAAATCATAGTAATTTCACAGGCAAAATGTCAATTTTACTTTATGGTTTTTAAAAGCAAACTAAACAAAAGCATGTTTGAGTGCTTACTTACACTTACTGAGGACAATAATGTAATGATATTGGTTTACTATTCTTGAAGACATAAATATTAGTTGTTCTCTTTTTAATTTAAGTCAACAATTTAGGTGTGCATAAGAGATGAAAATATCACATCTACACAGTGGATGAGCTTAGGTTCTATGCAAGAATGTAGGGGAATATTCAAAGTTACGTGTCCCCCAGCAGCCGTAACTTGTCCTCTTGTGCATATGGAACATTTCACTATTCTTTATGGCATCCACTTTCCTACCTTCGTGTGTGTATATGATATGTGACAGTTACAGTGGCTATGGGAACCATAACTTTAAGTCCTGTGACTTTTCTGTGAGTCAAACCAGCTGTGATATTGAATTAATGTCATTCCTCACGTCGCATTTCCCTGTTGTTGAAAGTGGAAGACTTACCACACATTTGAGTAAAAACCCTTTGTTCATGGTTGAGAGCAGTGTGAATGATGGTGGTGATGTGAACTAATTTTGTCATTTAATTAACATCATCATTAATCCCACTGAGCCCACCCTGCAAGATTGCATATGGCGCACTGAGCTGGTTGAGGGAGGATGAGGTTTAGGTATCTATCCAGCCATTTCTCCAGTTAAAAATGGAAGACACCTATCCTTTTGATTCTTGCTTAATAGCATACAATTTAAGCAGAGCTTTATAGCATCATCTTTTAGCAGGATTGGCCAAGTGGGGCACTAATTCATTAAATAAAACTGGAGACAATAGGGGGGAGTTTCAGGCTGTGGAACATCGGATGTTAGCTCTGCAAGTGAAGTCATGGTTATGGCCAAAACCAGTCAGGGAGAAATTGGATTTATGAATTGGATAGCCTACAGGCAGGGACAAAAGTTTTTGACCTAAGGAATGTTGAATATGTTCCTGACTGTTGTCATAAAGCAGTCTTCAGGCTGTTTTGTATAACTTGCCTGGCTGTCCTATGAGACTCAGCACATACAGGAGACACCGGGAGTCACAGAGGCTGCTTTGCAGAGGCTCTGCTGCCTGCCTCGATGTCTGCTGTGATGGTGCTTCTAGGGCCATTTCACAGAGTGACTGGAGAGCATGGCCATAGAAAAGGCTCGCTATGTTCAAAGTCTCCTTTCTTCCTTTCTATGGGTCTTTAATGATGAATCTTAACAGTTGAGCCACTTTGGACCTGTGGCTGGTGGGGACAAAGGCAGATCTGAGAACAAAAAATTTCACGAACTCCAGGGCCTAGGTCCCCCTCTCCCCATCCTGTCTAAGGAACTGGGTGTTCTGAGCCTATTGTGCCCAGCGTTTATTTCTCCAGAGCCGAGCCTTTCCAGATGTCACCATAGGCAGAGTCGGCAGACTGGCCAGCTCTTGCTTGGTTACATATCCTCACTATGCCCCTTGAGGGCTAAATAATTGCCCTTCTGGTCAGGAGGTATGTTCTTTTGCCACCGCAAGCCCTATTTGAGCGAGTTTGTTTTGAAAAGCAGCCAGCCCTCCAGGCAGGACCTCTGAATTGTGCCCAACACATTCCCAATGATCAGTGTGGATGGAAGGACCAGGACCATTAGTGCCTCTATCCTGGCCTGCACCATCAGTGTCCATAACTATCCAAGAAGCAATCATTGTAAACCCCTTTCCTGTTCCAGGGTGGCCCTAACTTGGAGGTTTCTTACAACTTCTTTGGAGGTAAACTCCCATCTCTTGTAACACAAGAAATCAACCCTGGCTGATAACTAAACACTAAATACTCCAATTCCTGGGGACCCCTTTGTGTCTGCCTTCTCCCCTCAGCCTTTCCTTTTAGGAAGCTGTCTTCATGCTCAGCCCAGGAACCTCAGAACGTCTTGTAGCTCTTCCCCATATTTCCTCATTTGTGCATAGAAGACTGGGCACATTTACCATCTGTGTATGCCCTCCTCGCAGCCTAGTGATGTGTGTTTCATTGCCCCACGGAGATTTTTCCAAGTCGTAGGAGGCATATGCGTGTTAGAAAGCAGACACCTCCCACTGTGAGGTCATACATTTGGCATTTGCACCTCCTACTTTGGGGTCCACGATAGACTCTGAAGGTTTGATTGAGGAAGGTCTTTCAGATCACATTTAGAAAAGCTTCCTGTCTTGTGTATAGCTCCGGTCTCTGGATCTTGAGTTGCCCACTTCCCTCTGGAGGCCGGAAGGCATCTGGCAGGATGGGGTGCTACTGTACTTTCTTCACCTGCATGAAAGCCTCACTTGCAAAGCATGTGGGTGAAGCAGAAATGCCCAGGGTACGTGAAGGGCACAACTGACCTTAGCCACCCTCCTGTCAGTGACTGAGCCAGATTGATACCTCTGAGTTCAGCCCCTTTTGCCACACAGGAAGGCCGCCCACGCACCTGAAACTGAGTATGCAAATGCCAGGTATTGAAGGGAAAGACCAGAGAGAGGATTTCACTGTGACGTGACACTCATTTGCTTTTTAAAAGGAGACATTACTTTTCCTTTGCAGAAACTACCGGGCAATGGTGACTTGAATGCTTCCCTGACATCTCAACAGTTTGAAGAACAATCTGTGAGTGACATTACTTAAAAATAAGCACTAGACATCATAAATATTTCTCAACAAATGTTTGCACTTCTTCTTAACCTTTTTTTATTTCCAACGAATGCTGAAATATATCCACCTACATAAACAGATCTTGCAAATTTTAGCTGGAGGAGATTAATCCAGTGTCTATTGATTGGTCAGAGTGGAACAGATTCTTCTAAAAATAAACAGTGAGATGGTAAAAGAGACAACCTTTTTGAAGTCCCCTGAAACTTAAGAAGGCTGTCAAGGGCAGCCTCGGCCACACGGCCAATTAATTGAATGTCTGATAAGTGAATGATAAATAATTGCACCTGTCTATTTTGAGAAAAAGCAAAAACTTGAAATTCCATTTTACTCATGTAGTCACTTTACAAAAGTAGACTTGACCTTGCTTGATGGCCCATTGGAGCTGACCATTCCTGGAGGGGGATGCAGTGCAGCCCAGGGAGGTGAGATCATGGGGCTCAGAGGAGGAGGAGATTCTGATATTGTGTGACAGCTGATGCGGCTCTGCCAGAACAGCGCTGGGAAGAGATGCAGAGCCCAGTGTGGACACAGGAGCAGGGCGGGTGTCCGAGGGAGGCAGGAGCTCAGGAACGGACCCACAGTGAAATGTCATCCCAGGTGGAGGAGCCACCAGCACGATGGGGTTTGGAGGGAAGGCAGAGAAGGGGAAGGAGATGTTTTATAACTGAGATTGCAAGGTGAACACAGCTTGGCTGCACCCAGCCTTGCACCAAATTCTTTCCCTGCTATTTTCTCTCTTGTGGCTCCAGTGTGAGTTTTAAAATAAAACATCTCACAGTCAACTGATGATGTGAAGGGTGTTTCCTAGAATGGCTTTCCAGCTTATCTAATTTTTGGAAAGTTCATCTTTACATATATAATAATGATTGCTTCAGATAAAATCTGGGGAGATAAAAAGGGCTTTTGACAAAGCAATGCAACTGAATTATCAAAGTGAGCAGGAGTCCAAAATAACACCTGATCTTTGTCTTGACCCTCTTTTTGTTTCTTAAATTAGGAAATATCTCTGACTAGGCAGAAATTCTTTTGCCTCCTGACATAAATGCTTTCTTCATCTCTGCAGGCTCTGGGAGAAACCAGTGACGGTCTGAGTAACCTCCCTGGTCATTTTGCCTACCTTCTCACCATCCACCTGAAGGAGGGACGCAATCTGGTGGTCAGAGATCGCTGTGGTAAGACTGTGCTCTCGGGGGCTCCGTGGCCTGTGCCCTTATCCCCTCACCCTGGTGAGGAAGTTGCAGATCCACCCTTTCCTTGTCAACAGGGTTCAGGACACACAGGAGCTCAGATCTCAGCCTTTCTAGGTGCAGGATATTTGCAGAGAACAATTTAAATGCATGAACCCTGCTACCCTTCTTTGCATTAAACATACTAAGGAGTACATGAAGTGGTCTTAGAATGAATGAAGAGAGAGCATATCTGTGGCTTTCCAACAGGCATCTGCTGCTGAAAGCTATTCCCACGATCCCACTTGGTAAATTATCTATGAAAAGGTTGGGTGTGGTAGTGAATGCCCACAATCCCAGACCCTGAGAGGCTGAGGCAGGAGGACCACAAGTGTAAGTCCAGTTGGATACCTAGTGAGAACTTTAAACAGAAACAAAACAAAAACAAAAACCTTTTTTTTTTTTTTTTTTTTTTTTTTTTTTTTTAATATGAGAGATGTAGCATAGGGCAAAGGCCCCAAGCTCCATTCTCAGTAAAACACACACACTGACACTCACAAAGAAGATTGTGATTACATTTCAAAATTATCAGAAGTACAAATTGATAGAAATACTATTTAAAGTATGTCTGTTTTGCCTTGAATCCCTCTGTACTCTAAATAGGACTCTCTGATTGTAACTATTCTGTTTGCCTGTTACATATGTCTATATATATTTATTTTAAATTAAGTTGGGACTGTAATATCCATATTATTCCACAGTAAGCTCTTGTGTTTTACTTTACAACATATCTTCAGAGTTGACCATGATTTTCCATGTAAATATGTTCCATTTCCTTCAAATACTCCATAGTATCTTATTTATCCATTCTCTAGTAATGATAGAAACACTGCCTCTGCAGTGTGCAGTGTGTTACTTTCCTAAGACAAAGCTACCCAACACCCAAAATTAAAGGATCAAATGTTTGTTTCAGCTCACAGTCTGTAGAAGGTTCAGTTTGTAGTTGACTGGCTCCAAGGCAAGGGGGCATGTCAGAGGAGACACAGGCAGGCAAGAGTAAACAGGAAACCCTCACAGCTCTTTTATGCCCCTTTTATTTCTGTCTGTTGAGACAGTGTCCAGCCAATCAGCAGACTGATTTAGTAGTCACACACCCTTAATCCCAGCATCACACACTCTAGATCCAGCCACTTCTGAACAAGGCCCTACCCATGATTGCATGAGGCTTTGGGGGGACGTCTAGACACAAACCATAGCAGTGATGCTGTGATGGGCGCACTATGCTCAACCTTGCTTAGGGGAGGATGTGAATGACTGATGCAACTTAAAAGCAGTGTGTCAGGGAGGGCAGTCCATGGAGCCAGTCTTCTAGTGCTCAAACCTTGGCTTCTTCATTCATGGCTATTTCCTTTAAGAAATGTTCTGGATCCCTTTCTGCCCTGTAGCTTCACCTGTACCATGAGGAAAGTCATGTTAGCTCCCTGGTAGGCCAACGGGAGGCTTGGAGGCACTGATTTCTATAAAGGATCCAGTATTCACCTAAGTGTTTTTCTTCTAACAGTCGTTTCTGTAATTGGTTGTGATTTCCAGCCTTTACACTTGCTTGTTACACATTATGAATAGTATTTTCCCGATTTGTTGCTTACCCCTAAGTTTTTCTTCTTTTGTTTTTCAGAAGATTTTAGTTTTATCATAGGTGGGTTGTTTCTTTGTGGTGTTTTTCCATTTAGTAGCTGAGGCCTTTCTATTCCGAGGCCCCCATGTTGTGCTGCAGATCTTGATGATTTCCTTCTGTCCCTTCCCCTCTGCTGTCTTTCCAAGACCACATGGAGGCAGGAAGCAGGCGGGGAGGAGGAAAGGCAGGCAGGCAGGCTGGCTGCTGGTCTGTGCCTTTTGGCTTCTTACCGTTCCTTTCTCCTCCTTCTGTTGGCTTTTTGCAGCCAGGATAATTTCTGAGCTTGGACTTCGGCTTGGTCGTTTCCTTAGCAGTGTTCACACGAGCCCTGAAGTTTAACTATGGAGTTGTTGCCGTGTTTTCATTTTTACTGCAGCCGATTTTCATTTTATGAATCTGCTGATGTGGTCTCTGTTGGAGAATGTTGGGGATACTTTAACACCTCCTGCTTGCTCTTGGTCTCTGATGTATCAGTCACTTTTGCTGCCACCTTGTGGGACCTTCAGCTTTCTTTTGCACATTTGGTCTTCTGCACAGGCGTGCTCAGCCTGTGCCCCTCCCTGTCCCTTTCCCCCACTACGAGTGCTCCTCTTGCTTCCCGAGCCCTGCTGCCCAGGGGACACACAGCTGGACAGAGCGAGCAAGTCCTTCAGGCTGGATTCTTGTTACTCCTCCGGGTGATCCCCAGCCACTTAAGGCCAACCCCTCCGGCTTTCTGCCTCTGCTCTCTGTTCCTGCTTGTCCTGGGGTGCTGCTGTGGGACATTACTGAACATCAGGGACTTGTCCAGGCCCATCCAGGGCTTTGCCCGGCCTTGTGCTGCTCCGTGCAGGCATCTGCTGCCTCGGGCCTTCCCTTCCTCACCTGCCACACATTTTCCTCTGCCAAGAATCCTTTCTGCTGTGACACTGCTGCTTGTGTGCTGGGCTATGGATTCCTTCACAAAGCCAGTCTTTTCCGTTCTTCAGGGTGTGTGGAGTTTGTGCTGCTTTCTACATTTTTTCTTAAACAACCTCAACAACTCTCCCCTTTTCATTTTTTTCCAGATGTGTCATATCAAGATAGTGAAAATTTTCATTTTCTACTTGTCCCCAAAGCATACATTTCTCTATCAAAATCATTACCTCTTAGCTCTGACCTGCCCCTTCCTAAATATGTTACAGCTGCATCCCTTTGAATAGATGTGTTTCACATCAATTTGGAGAAGGGGGAGAGAGGGCATTTCTTGTTCAAAGTTGGAACTAAAGGGTGGGTTCATCACCAATGTAAACTTGCCTCCACAAATCCTTGTCACTTGTTCTGAATCTGTAGGGGAACCAACGGATGCCTCTCTCAAATAAAGATCACTTCTAGGTATCTTTCTGAAAAAGTGAAAAAAACATGATATTACCGTGATGCATGGTCAGTACTCATGTTCAGAGAAGTAGAGTTCATAGTAGCTAAATTTTGGAAGCCGTGTAGATGTCTGTCAATAGATGGATACATAAAAAGGTGGCATTTATACACAATGGAGTACTACTCTGCCATAAGAAGAACAAACATGTCATTTGTAGGAAAAATGTTTCACTATGATCTAAGTAAATAAAGACCAAAATAACAGATGATAGGAAATAGTGCGATAGATCTTTTGAAAAAATAAAGACCAAGAAATGGAGGGACAGGGAAGGGAGGGGAGAAGGGAGATGAAAAAGGAATTAAGATGTGTTACATACATGTACCAACTCCCTGCATAAGGAATAATCATGTACTGCAAACAGGAACTGATAATTTTTTAAATATCACCATCAAGTCCATTTTATGACAGTTTATTGAGAGATCAGAAGAGCTCTCTAGAAAGTATATTTGTCTTTACAAGGAAGAAAGTGTTCCAAACCTAGGAAAAACATGTTCCCCTGAAAATCTGGAATGTTCCCAGTAGTGTGTAATTTGGGGCTGTGCCTGGGGCCAGGACATCTACTATCGTTGTAGGTAATGTGACCTCACTGAACTCTGCTGAGTTTCCTCATCTTGTTCGGTTCATTCGCCTTTACTGCTGTGAGTTGCCAGTTCGTACCAACCTGACACATTATCCCGCTCCATCACGGAGCTCCTGGTAGGTGGACAGGAGACTGGTCGGGTGGTGGACCCTTCCTCCCATGGATCATAAGAGGAAAGATACAAGTACCCTGCTGTGTTTATCTTTGACACGCAGCTGCTATGGTGAGATGTTTTGGTCCATGAGTATGTTGTGGAATGATCACCTCAGGGTGAGTAGCACCCTCATCACCACTAGGATTTTAGCACTTCTTTGTTGTGGGGGCATTCACAATCTTCATTTGCAGCTATCTGTAGCATTCAGTCCATTACTGTGAGCTCCAATCGCAAGAGACACGAGAGCTTCCTGTTCCTTTCTGACTGTGACTTTTCCTCCTGATCGACCCCTCCCAGCCCCGTCTTCCTTTCTTCCCAGCCTGTTCCACTTCAATTTACACGAGATCAATTCTTTTAGATTCCCCATGTGAGCAAAAAGTGTATTTGTCTTTAACTCAAATGTGTTAAAAATCATTTAACACATGATGTCTTCTGGATTCAATCGATATTGTCACAAATGACAGGATCTCCTCTTTTTGGATGGTTGGCAAATCTATAATGATGTGTAATGGTTATTAATTAGTAATAATGTGTCAGAGCTGTTAGCAGTGAGATTCCATGCTCAGCTCTATCAACGCCCCAGCCAATGAACTCCGGTACGTGATCCTTAACATTTGTCAATTTGTCACCTCTCCTGTGGACTCACTGTCTTCAGTTATTTATTTTATTTTCCTTATATGGAACCATGAATTTAATTTTTGAATCAGAAATACGACAGACCACATGGATCCGTTATTGATTTTCAGTGTGTCAGCTACTTCCTGAAGGTGGTGTTAAAGCCTGTGGCCCCTTGACTGTAAGAAGCAGCAAAAGGAGCTAACTTTGAGGTTATAGTCTCTGCTTTTTGAGTTTTGGAAGATAAAATTATGTCTGAGGAATTATTCTCTGCTAAGGAAAGAGTTCAGCATTTATATAATTTGAATTATTATGTAATCATTACCATTTTTGTAACTTTGTATTTTGAGCATGGGTTAGCAGCAAATATTTTATGTGTGAGACCAGAGAGTAAATATTTTAGATTTTATGGCCCTTAAGTGCAAAGTAGGCGACATTTTTAATGTAAGAAAGCAGTTGTAGATAATGTGTAAACCACTGGTCCTGGCTGTCTTTCAATAAAACTTTATTTATAAAAACAGATTGATTGTCTGGATTTGATCATGGATCAAAGCTTACTGATTTCCACCTAGAACATTGTGCTCTG